ATGAAAGTAAACGAAATATTCCTGGATTACAGAAAGATAAATTTATGGAAGAGAAACTACCTGTTTGGATGTGAAAGTATGTACTACTTTCTAAATTTAGTAAGAATATCTTTACATTATTTAGGAAATTTTCGATTGTTTTACCTGTTCCAAATGTGTTTTCGGAATCCCAAATGTGCATTAAAGTCACCTGCTAAGATAAAAGGAAGCCGAGAAGTTAAATATTCAAGATTGGAACTTATTAAACAGTAGTTTGGTGGGATTTATATACAACAAATTGTAATTTTGTAAAGACGCTAAGCTGTAACGGCTATAGCATCGAGGTTTGTGTTTAGCGGAAAATCTTTATGGAAAATATCAGTGAAAAAAAAATTGATGCTCCGCCACTGGCACGAAGTTGGGTAGTTCGAATATAGTGGGAACCAGTAAAATTTTTAAGTTGTCCGGAATATTTATCAGCGACATTTGTTTCTTGTAGGCATAGGTAGTCAGGAGAAGACTTAGCAATAAACTGTTTTAGGCGTGGATAATGAGGATAAAATCAATCACAGTTCCATTGTATCAGTGTTTGGATTTTTTCGAGGTTTGTAAACAATGAGGCAGGTATTCTATATCATAATCATCCTGGGAATTATCAAGACTATCTATACTTTTAGAATCATCTGTTGCAGAATCTATTTTAGTTTCAAATTATTTAATTAACGGTGTAATTCTGATCTTAGTAGATATTTCTTTAAAAGTTGGGTTTATTGCTTGCAAAGTTAGAACGGGTGATTTAATATCTGTTGTGAATTTGAATGTTTCTGAAACGGGGTCGCAGCTACCGTAAGCGCTCTCGGTAAAGGCAATTATATTATCAGGACGGACTGCAGAAGCTTCTGGGTTTTGTTTATAGGCTTTTTGTATTGCTTGCTTGGAGTCAATGGATAGACTGAAGGCGACAGAAGAACTACGTTTTTGTTTCTTTTTTGTACTGGAGGAGCTAGAGGAACTAGGAACTGTTTGTTTGGGAGGAAACATAGTTTGTTCTGTTGCGGGGGTTTTCCCAGATTGAAAGTTCTTATCGCTTATAGATGATACAGATGAGCGTGGCCTCTTCTGTGAAAGTTGAGAAGTTAACCATAGTTTATCTGACTTTTCAGATATTTTATCATTTTTGCAATTTTCTAGGGAGGAAAAAAGATTTGGTAAATTTGTTTGAGAGGTACAGAGTTCAGAATGAGAGGGACATTGTGTATTCTGTTGCTGTGGCGTTGATTTGGTTGGGGAGTTATGTCATGAGAAAGAGTAGGATTTTGAGATGATAAGTTGTAATTGAAATATTGTCCATTCCATCTTGTCCGTAGACAGAAAAATTCAATTATCATTAAATTCAAGAAGAATTTACAAGGAGGTGTGAAGTTCAATATTATAAGAGGGAGGAAACATATATACTTGTCGGCGGAAGCTGAAGATGTGGGAGTATTCATCACTTGATCACTGCAATGTCTGCTTGAAGGAAGCTATTTGAAAACCAAGACACTTCGCTGCATTTTTGGCCAGTTCATGGGAAATTTAAGGAGGGATGTTCGAAATTAATATTCTTTTTGTTGGGGAGACAAGTTTTCGAATACTTAGAATGAGGGTCCGATTTGAAAATTTGTATTCTGGTATGCAGTTTGTATAAATTAAATATAATTTATATGATTTAATAATATAATGAAAGCAATACGTACAAAACTTGTCCAGAAATCACTTTTTCAAAATTACACTATTAAATCTAAATTAAGCACTAATTACTACCGATAAGACACACTGAATTTTAATTGTACTTAGCACACGTCTTACTCGTTCGAGTGCTAGAACAGAAATCGATAAAATAATTTACCATGTTCGAATGCTGACTTCTTATATTCTTTAATCCATTCAGTTACAGTTGATTTTGGATTTGGCATTTTAATTTAATTTACAAGTATTTAACATAAATACTCTAAGGCGTATATAAAAAGCCTAATAAATAAACAATAAACGACTAATCAATCAAAACATATATTGGGACCCTGCAAGTTCGGAAGAGCGACACCTGGTGTCGTAAATCAGCAAAATTTACTGCGCTTTCATGTTAGATCGAGGTTATCGGATAACTGTCCGGGATGTACTATCATATAACTATCAAGGATGTAGTCCCAAAAAAGAATAATAAGAAAAAGTAAGATTGAGGTTTATGTCGGTATGTTATTAAAAGGTAAACGTTGTATGTAGTGTAAATATAAAAAAATACATGATTAAATTACAGCATTACTGTTAATATGGATGCAATAATAAAAACTAGATTTAAAAAGGTAAATCACCAAATAACTTTTAACCAAGCACTGAGTCTAAGGGAAAGGCTTTAGTAGTGGCAAATTATGTTAAGAATGTGGATGAATTAAGAAAAAATGGACAAAGCTATGTAAGACATAGCTAAACTTAAAGTTACATTAGCATCAAACTAGATTTTTGTGTTAAAGTGAACTCTAAGTGAGTGTTATGAAACTAAAATTTTCACTTAAAAGTGAACTTTTATTTATTATTTATTTCAAACTGACTTTAAAATCGGGTGCAAGAATAATGCATAATTTAGGTTATGTTACTTACTTATGCTTTTTTATGATATAAATTCACTTTTCACTTTGTAGTATGTAATTTATGCTTCGAAGTTGGAAACGAATAAAACTTAAATTGACAATTTTTTGTTGTATTTTTACAATTTATAACACAGCATTTACTAAACCCCATTTTCTTCGGTGACAGAAGGTGTAAATAAACAAACGAATATAAAATATGACAATTTGACATTTGACAATATGAATTTATGAAAATCTATGAAATGTGCAGTAAAAAATGCAAGATTTTTCCGCTACTCGCGCACGATCGTTTCTCGTATCACATCCAAGTACTTGCACGTCGCCAATAGTCCGAACGAGGTTTTACATACAGACCAAACGACGCAGACGGGGAATTCCCGGAAGTATTTAAATATAGGTATATAGATACAAGTCAAAATATCGAAAAATAAAGATTGCCAAGAATAATTAATAGTTTTTGATAGATTTTGATAATCTGTTTTGAAGAATAGAATCACGTAAAAATTAAAAAAAAAAACAAAAAAAGTATCATAAAAAATTGGTTTCAAATGAGTGCAAAAATGCACATTTCGTTAATCATTAAAATGACAATAATCTTTATTATTTACCATATAGTATAGTAAATGAAGTTAAAAATCAACTATTACCTCCGATTTCGGTGAACCTCCGTCGATTTGCATGAAAATTTGGGATTGAGTATATTTTACCCTCAACTTCAAAAGTGACATATGCTCAACTTGCGCGTTCTGCATTTTAGCAGGTGAATTAGTATTTTTAGTTGGAAAGAAAGACTCTTCAATTTTGCACCATTCCTAGTCAACTGGACGAATGTCTTTGTTTCCAAGCCATATCTAGGTTTGCAAATAAACTCTTTTGATGTGTTCATCCAATTCAGCAACTGTTAGGACCAGAGATGAAAACTTAACTGCACTACTTTTGGTGGTAGCCTTAATAAAGGACTCGTTACGCGTCTGTTCCAGATCAGCTGATAGGTCTTCGATGCGTTGTAGTTTTGCAATTCCGTACAATAATATTGTGCAGTACTCCGTGATAATATTTTTTAACTGATAAATATATTCAAATGGGTTGTGGTTAATTAAAAATTGGTGCAAACATGTTACGTCCTTTTTATCTTTTTCAATTTTAGCGTCTCTTGAATCCACGTGTTTTATAATATAACTCCGTTAATTTTTATGATATCAAGTTCATTCAAAAACCATTTGAAAGGTAATTTCAAGGGCTATAAAGTCGTATTGAATTTAGTTGTTTATATCCCTTATTTAATAAAAAAATAAAAGGTGAAAAGGGCCCTGGTTACATGGTTCTCGCAGTAAAATTTAGGTTTTAAACGTTTTTATTTCAGTAATTTTTTATCCTACAAAAATATAAAAAAAGGATAATCTTTGTTAAAAAAACCTCAAGTTTGGTTTTCTATCATTTTTTAAGTATATTGAGTATATATTATGGAGTTATTCTCAAAAGAAAACGAAATTTATGAAAATTTGAAAAATTCAGATTTTTTTAAATCAATTTTTTTTTTGAAAAAGATGCATTCTGAACCAGTAGAAATTTTTGAGCTCATTACTTATGCTAAAATAAAGTCTTATAGAGATTACTATAAATTTTAATTTTTGTGGGAATGGCGTATGTTTTATTTTTCACTTTTTCCAAAAAAAATCGAGAGGGTCCTAAAATTAAGCAGTATATTTCATTATTACTTGCTTAATTTTTATGCTTTTAACTTCTTCTAGAGCTTATTTTATAGGTATTTTTAAGTACTTTGAAAATTGTTTACTAAGTATATTTTACAAAATGCATTGTTTCCCGTTATTTAAGCTTGATTATTCAGATTTGAGTACTCGCCGAAAAATACATTTAATTACCTATAACTCACTTTGAATTAATATTACAAGGTTTTTTAAGCAAAAAATTTATTTAATTTTTTATTAGCTTCAATTTTGGTAATAGCAACTTTTTTACAAAAAACTTATAGTTTTTGAGTTATTTATGAAAAATCGCTTTAAAACATGCATTTTTTCCAGGAAAAATAAAAATTTTTGATCTTTGATATCTAAAAAACTTTATAAGATAAATTTTCGTTTAGATTTGGTTTCACTATCGATTCCTGGATTTATTTTTACTAAAATAATTTCCACCCTCGAGAAGAGGTGGCATTCACCCCAGGGTAAAAGCGCAAGTTAACACCATGTCACTTTTGTTTCTTGAGGTATCCTCTAACTACTCACCAATTTTCATAAAAATCGATAGAGGTTCAAGGAAATCGGAGTAAAAACCTTCAGTGACTGTACTAATAAGCTTTATATGCGATATAATTTATTTTAATACCAACACAATTTATATTTATTATTCTACCATACATTTTTATTATAAAATATGTTACACCATTTATTTGTTTCAGCAACTGGATTTGACCCGACTAAACCATTTTACATTCCGAATCAATCCATAGACCTGCTGGTTGCTCTGGGAGAATACAACAAGAGTTGGTTGGGAGTGGAAAGGATAGACAGTCCGGCCCCCCTCGACCTGATCAACACCTTCACGCATACAAGGTTGGCCTATGTATTAGAAGGTAATTTTTATTAACAACACAAAAAAGTTTAGTAGGTATACATTTTATATATGTAATTCAGCTCTAGGTACAAACTGAGAAAGACTACATCTTTTTAAATTCAATATGTTATAGGATCACATTTATTGTATTATAAAGGTAAATTAAAATAAGACAATTAAATAACAATGAAACTTAAATAACATATTATATTTATGGGGAATTCTGCCACAATTGATTGTACTGAAAATAATATTCATGGCCAATTAATATTTGGCCATGAGTGACCAAATATTAATATTATTGAATCGGAATTGTGAACAGAAATGGAATGTTCATAAAAACTATGTTGAATTCTATGATTTGTTATATGTTCTATGATAATGACTTTCATAAGCTCTGTGTTGTTCATTTGGAATGTTGTCTTTGATTGATCATACCGGAGAGGAAAGTTTTTGTTGGAGGGTAAATGTTATCTTTATTCCTCTTAATTTAAGAATTTTGTTGATTTTTTCAGTGAGACCTTTGATGTAAGATAAAAAAGCTTTTGTATGATGAGGGCCTGAGTCTTTGGGTTAAGAGTGAGTGGGAGATTGATGTCTGTGAATGTTCAAATTGATGTGATTTTTACAGTAACTGTAAATATGAGGGCTTGTTTTAAACTAGAGAGTTCAGCGGGTATATTTGCATAATCGCAAAGAAGTATTGATCTGAAGACAAGGGTATTATTGACTAAATTAATTTGTGAAGGTGGATGATGAAAGTTGGCGAGCAAGTACCGATTGGTATGGGTGGATTTTTGCTAAACAGAGTGATAAAAATCTTGAGCTTGGTTTTTGTTTATCATAACGTCGAGAAATTGTAGGGATGAATATACACAACCATTATCCAAGTACTTGACCAAAACTAAGTAAGTTTCGATATCGTTTTACTCTTTACAAACATTCCTATAGACGAAACTCTAAACATTCTAAAACCCAAATAGAGTTTCCAGCAAGACTACTTATCTCTCATTAAACAGTGTATATCCAACACTTATTTGATCTTCCAAAATTAATTTTACAGAATAAAATAACTGAGAACTTTACTATTCTTCTTTGAGTTTCTGGTTCTTTTATTGCATTTGTATTTAATGCAATTTCTAGATATGCGAAACTTTCTATAGTTTTAATTTCGTCCTCAATGTCAACTGTGCGCCTGTTTGCCCCAGGTTTTGCCTGTATAAGCTTTTTTGTGTGTTGAATATTTATTTCTTGTCCAATCTTTTTGCCTCTGCTTTAAATTGTAAATATATGTCTGTCACCTCTTCTGTTTTACAAAACATAATTCTATATCATCGGCATATGCGGAATCTGTATTGATTTATTTGTTAGTAAATTACCTCGTCCTATATTAAACTGTATTATCGTATATTCAAGAGTCAGACTGAATATAGTCGGTACCAGTCCGTCACCTTGCTTTAAGCCTTTGGCTACTGAAACGGAAAACAAAGCTTACTTTTCACTCGCTCATGTGTTCCGCTCCAAAAACACACTTCGGAGATCGAAAATCAGGAACAACAAAACAATTATCCAGCCAATAGTATGGTATAAATGCGAGATGTAGGTGATGATAGAAGACACAAAACACAAGTTGAAAGTATTTGAAAGAAAAGTTTTAAGGAAGATATTTGGACCTGTTAACGAAAACGGAGTATGCAGATCCACGTATCAAAGAGGCACTGATCTCAGAATTCGTTTTTGGACTTTGGAGACTTTGATGGACTAGTCATGTAGTGAAAATAGAGATCAAAAGATTGCCAAAAAGAGCCCTAGATAGTTAGGTGCAGAACCCGTGACCCAAACGAAGGCCACGGGGAAAAGGTGGGAGGATGAAATGGTAGCGGAAGGGCAAAATTTGCTTGGCGTAAGAACCTGGAGAAGATCGGCGCGGTACCGGCAAGGTTCAAGGCATAGTTTGGCAGAGGACAAGGCTCGATTTGGACTATAGCGCCATTTTAGAGAGAAAGGGAGAGAAACAGAGAGATTCACATCCAACAGGTTGAAGGATGAGCAATATTCATCTTAGGATGCCTGTCCGTTTCGAACGTTGGTGATCTGGCTATGATGACTTCTGGTTGCTATATGGAAAAGCTGTGTTAAGGTATTTTAATACCATGCTCACATGTCCCAAATACTACAGCTTACGGCCGTGCACTATGTTGACCAAATTTGCGGTTGTGTTCATCTTCCGTAGTACTTTTTACTTTTTAATACTAAATTTTGCAGTAACGAGATCTTGCTTATTTTCATTGCCTACCACAATATGTTTGGTCTTATGAAGATTTATTTTTAATACACATTTTCCGTATTCCTCAGTTTCCTTAGCATATAGGTTAAGTCGTCGTTATTAGCAGCTATGAATACATACTTGACAATCCACAAATAGAAGAAAACATATTGTAAATTTATTTCCATTTTGGCGACATTTCTGTTACCATCTTTTGAGTGCTTGTTGCACAACCATAACATATAAATATATTGGTAGTGTATCATATGCTTTCTCAAGGACGACAAAGGTCAAAGAGACAGTTGACCCTCCTTTCTATGCATTGCTCTATAAACTGATTAATACTGAATACTCCGTTTATACAAGCGCGTCTAGCTCTGAAACCGTTTCGATCTTTTGATTCGTTAACTTGTTTTCCAATTCGGTGGTTGAGTACATGATCATATTACTTTACATTACGTAGAGTTTAACAAACCCCTTTTCCTGTACTTCGTGGATCTCACAAAAGCGTTTAATATAGTCCAACTAAAAGACGTAATAAGCAGAAAAACGTGGATAAACTACATAATAATATTCAGAGAACTTAAGAGTAACAGTACAAAAAGAATAAAAACGGAATATGTACTTACCAAAGAAATAAACGTGTCGTCAGGAATCAGGCACAGAAATCCGAAACTCTTTAACAAGGTAATAGAAAACGTAAATAAAACCAAGATTGGCTATAAAATGGGAAACCGTGCTTTGAGTATCCTCTGCTATGCGGATGATCTAGTAATCCTACAAGAAAATAAAGATGACATCTATCGCGTACTTGACACAGATTCAGTATAAAGTTAAAATCAAACAAGTTAAATATATTATCATCCTACGAGAAGGATCAGTTAATGGCTGTAGTCAAGAGTCCTATCCGATGTAAACTAACCACTAACTATTACATAACAGAACATGCCATGACTTTTGACTACCTCAGAATAGATGTATCGTATTGGTATGCCAAAAAATGCGATGAGTTGTCCAACTAAAGTTTGAAAAGAGATCTATCTCTCAAAATATCAGGAGAGACTAGTAAATACCCTTGCATTCTAAATATTTTTATACGGAGCAGAGACTTAAACTCTTCGTGAACGCAAGCGCCAAAAAATTTATGCCTTTCAGATGTGTTGCTGAAGAAAACAGCTGCGCATACCTCAGATAACTCATAAGACAAACGTTTCTAATCTAAACGAACTCGAGATAAAAAGACTGTCCACAATATATTTGCAACGTATTCTACAATTTTTTGGTCACGTGGCTCGCAGAGGTGACGATAGTTTTGAGAGATTAAATGTTTCTGAAAACATTCCGGAGAGAAGATCAAGAGAACGATCACCAAATAGATGGTCCGACCATATTAATGGAATTCAGCTGGAATTTTACGAAACACTTAAGCTCTCAGAGCAGCTGAAGATAGAGACCAATGGAAAAAAAAGGATATTGGAAGAAATCAAAATCCCAATAATAGGGAAACAAGTCAACAAGTTTGCCAAAATATTGGGATACTTAAGCAATATACGAAGAGACATATATTTATGAGCTTAGATACCCAAATTCGGATAAATATAAACTATGTGCAAGGCCAGTAATACCATATGCAGCGGAAATAAGTGCTGAAACGTGGCATACAAAAGATTAATAACAACTGCAGAAATAAAATCATTCTTCTTCTTAACGTGCCATATCAAGTCCCCTTGACGTTGGCGATTAACATGGCGAAACTGTCTCTGTCTCGAGCTATTTTAAAGAGTTGCTCAGCTTTCTTTATACCTGTCCACTCTCTGATATTCTTTAACCAAGAGGCCTGCCTTCTACCAATTCCTCTGCGTCCTTCGATTTTACCCATCGTAATAAGTTGAAGAATATTATATCGGTCTCCCCTTACTACGTGCCCAAAATAGGCCATCTTTCTACATTTAATGTTATCAAGTAGCTCGCGAGCAGCATTTGCTCTCTCAATGACTGCCACATTTGTCAGCATAGCCGTCCATGGAATTTTTAGTATACGTCTGTGCAGCCACATCTCAAAGGCCTCCAGACGATTAATGGTGGATATTTTTAATGTCCATGCTTCGACACCGTATAGGAGGACTGACCAAATGTAGCATTTAACCATGCGCTTTCGAAGTTGAAGTTGCAAGTTATCATTACAGAAGAATGACCTCATTTTTAAATATGTCGTGCGAGCTATCTCGATTCTACATTTTATCTCTTCATCTGAATCTAGTTGTTCAGTAATATGGCAACCAAGATATTTAAAACTGGACACTCTTTGAATTATATGACCATCAACATATAATCGTGCATCTTGATGTGCTAAACGGCTAAACACCATGTGTTTTGTTTTTGAACAGTCTTATGTTTAGGTCAAACTCTCTTCCCACTGTATCAATGGCATTTAAAAGGCATTGTAATCCATTCATGTCATCACTTAAAATAACTGTATCGTTCTGCATATCTGATTGTATTTATCAGAATTCCATTAACTTTCTCGCCCCATTCCAAATTATGCAGCGCTTCTTTAAATATTCTATCTGAATATAAATTAAATAACAGTGGGGATAGTATACAACCCTGTCTGACACCTCTTTGTATTTTACATATTTCTGTTGATTTTCTGTTTATGCAAGCTGTCGCTGTTTGACGCCAGTATAACTTTTCTATGAATCGTATGTCTTGACTATCAACTCCTTTATCTTTTAATATTGTAATTAATTTGT